TTTTTATGATTAAGCACTATGCTATAATGTCAGCATTGTCAGGTGTTAGTGACATGGCTATTTATGTTGGAGTTGGTGAAAGGTGGCATCCAAGTATATTAGCCTTATAAGAAATAGCCTTAAATAAGAATGGAGTGTACAAAATTACTTCAGCTTTAAGTCATACAGAAATATCCTTGTATGTTAATGGTTTTGGTACAAGACTGGAAAAAATCTAGAGGAGAGTCAAACCACATATAAACTTATTGAAAATAAGTATTTGTAATACCAGCAGCCTGTTTTTCAGAAACTTGAATATGACTTACAGTTAGTTTTGTTTATGAAATTGTTTGAACTTGCACAGATGTAGGTGTAACTTAAATGATAAATGGTACTGGTGTGTGTGTATATATAATGTTTAATTCTATTTGTAAATGAAAAACTATGTAAAAAAATAATAGGTATGAGGTTTTCCTATTGTAATTTAATACAGGTATGAGGTTTATGGCAATATATCATAGTTAATGAAATTTCAGGTCAAAATGTCTTTAAATTGTGTACATTTTTAAATTGTAATTTCTACTGTATATTGATTATCATGCATAGTGTGGTTCAAGAAACTGCTTGTTTTTTAAAAATATTTAATATTAAAAATAAAATACAGTTATATATTTATAATCTCTTTGTCTGTTTGTTCATTCTTAAACAGATGCCAGCAATGGATCAGGTCCACAGTATAGTTCTACTGTAAGTTATATTTGTTAGTCTCCAGAGGTTGAGAAAGTACCAAAAGCTCAAAGCTACAGTCCCAGCAGATGAGTCTACACTAAATAGCGTAGTTGCCTTTAATTTCTTCTAATATCACCCTTGTGTGAACTGCAGGTAACGTGTGTATGCAGTCAATAGAGAAGCAATACTTAAAATACAAACAGTGTAATTCTAAAAACTGAATATTGTTTTTAATCCTAGAATTAAGCATCTGTAGGAAGAATGAAGGTTTCAAAATTTTTTAAGTACCCTTCAGAAAACAAGTTAATGATATGTTTTCTCAGTATTTATTGAATTTATTTCTAGAAGATGATTTTATTGTTTGTTTTAATCTAAGTGCATGTGCTGAATGGACCTAAGATCACCAGGTAAATGCAGTACTTGTGTGTATTGGTAGCTTCTTTCATGTGAGATTGAGACTGTTTCAGCCTGGGCACTCTGAGGGCAGGAGGAGAGTGCTGTTTTTTCCTCTTAACCTGTTAACCGTTAGGGTTGTGATGACACATCACAGCAATGTCAGTAGTTAATGGAGGCTGTTGTGGAAGCCCCCACATTGTATGGCAGCTGTTGAGACCTGGGAATGAGAAACTGATATCAAGATGACTTAACTTCATTAGGTAAAATACAACTACTGGGCTGAAATTTGACCAAGACAGTGGTTGTTATTGAGAACAGACGTAAAAGATCCCATGGCACTAAATTGGTCATCTTATATAGAACCTATTATCAAAGAATTTGAGCACTTGTGATCTTTATCATCAATCAGCAGCCTTCTTGCAAGGGATGGAAGTGCTTTGTCTGTGGGCCTTTTTCACACAGGTGATATGATAACTTGCATGGCCCTTGGCAGAGCAGAGTTGAGACAGACTTTTTTCTCCTCCACCTGAGGACACTCCACCTGCTGAAGTAAGTACTAGACTGACCCCTCCTGTAGTGACATTGACCTGCCTGGCTTAGCTTCCATTAGTCTAGTGGCAGCACCTCAATACACACACTGCTGCAGTGCTGGCTGAGAGTGCTACCTCCCCCCTGCCATTTTGTTGTCACTTGGAGCCCTGTGACCATCCAAAACCCAGGAGCCTTGTGCTGGCTGCTGTCTCTGGGCTCAGTCCCCCTCCCTGGGGTAGAAAGGGTAATGGCAATAGCTGGGAGTCGTGTGCCCCTGCGTGACTCTCTTGCCTGGACCTGCTGCTTCCCCTCCATACACGCGTGCCGCGTTACGGGGGCGCCCCTTCCCTGTGAGGACTGTTACTTTGCCGGCTGGCAGCTGAGGCGTGGAACACCCGCCTGCGCGGTGCTGGGCCGGGCCCGCCCCCGCTGCTAAAGTGACGTGTCGCGGCGTGC